ATGATGGAATAGTATTCCATAAGCAGCAGGCATAGCAGGGTATACATGAACTGTGTGCAATATAAATGTGAGATATAAATTGTGCTGAGGGGATCATGCAAGTGGGGGGGGGAGTGTTGCTTCTCCAAACATATGAGGAGGAAAGACAGACAGGCTCCTCTGAGCAGCAGGGTAATCCAGTGCCAGGTACTCCCGCCCTCATCGTGAGCTCATTGGGATGCAGACTTTGCCAGCTTCTTTTCTGGTGCCTACTCCTCCCAGCGCAGAATGGACAAACAGATGTCTGTTACATATCTGATATGGATAACATCAGTCCCAAACAAAGAGACTGAGAAACCTTGGAAGGAAACAGCCTAGGGAGAAAAAGCCCAGCAAATTGCTCTCTGGCTCAGGACATATTCTCAGAAATGATGCTAATCTTCCAGTCCATAGCATGGTTTACAGAGTGATTTTCTATCCACTGTCTCATTTGCCTGTCACTGCAGTACAAGGAAGCACATCCTATTTTGTAGGCAAGAAATGAGGGGTTTTGGCAGTTAAATGAACTTGCATGAGAGTCATGTGAGGAGCAGAGAGGGAGCCAACCCCTGAAACCCTGCACTGCAGCCCGAGATGACTGCCCACTGTGGAATGAGATGGGGAATAGCACACTCCCCAGTAAAGCCTGGGCAAATCAGATTAACCCTTTGAGTTAGAGGTTACAAACCACAGCCAACAGGCCAAATAGGATTTGGATTTGTTTGGCTCTTGGGTGCTTTAAAATTTTCTAATCAGTTGTCAACATTTTAAATCTGGCTTTTCAGCTTATAAAATCAGGCAGTGCTGGGCATGGCAACCTTTGCTGGAGCTGAGTAGTGGCTGCCTCTGTGCTCTTTGGTTCCTGCAGTCTTCACCATTCTCTATTGCTGTATACCTCCCCTGCTTTTCTCCTTTCCATTACCTGCCTGACCTCAGGGGCCTTTGAGTTCATTCTCTTTGGCTTAGATGGTCCCAAAGTCATGTGCTAGTCTGATTCATCTTTTTTCTCCCCCCAAATTTCCTCTGAGGTCTTCTTCCCCAATTCTGACACTCTGAGTCTAGTTGGCAGGAGAGAGAAGTAAAGTTTGTCATTTACTTAATTCTCTCTGACAGCCAGATGATCCAGCCATCAGCCCTGAATCTGGGGCCAGATGCCAGAGAGTGACTGCAGGAGTTAGTGGTGATAACAACCTCTCTGCAGATCACTTGGCCACTGAAACAGAGAGAGTTCCACCTGATCAGGTCTATTTTAAACTCATGGCAGCTGTATTCAGTGCAAGGATGCATCCCTGAAGACCTCATGTAAACTTGAGCTTGCATAATTCATGACCAAACCTGACCAAAGATGATGGACATTTTTTTGACAGCTAAAGTGGCCCAGCTATGTAGCAGCATCTTAGAAGAGCTTACAACTCACACAGCCCACCATAATGCAATTTTTGATCAGTGTGAGGATCAAATGACCATGAACCTGAGTTTGAAACTAAGAAATATCATGTGCTGGCTGTGAGATGCTGAGAAAATTCCAAAAGTACTCTGACCCCAGTTTCTTCTCCTGGCCCCCTTCATCTCTGTAAAGAACTTGGTAGAGGTTGGCTTATTGGAGGTGCTCAAAAATGGCAGTTCTCTGCTACTGACTCTGGACTGGATGCAAATCCAATCCTGAGACTGTGAGGACCAAGTGATACAAGGTCCTTTAATAGTCATGACTGCATACATGACTTGGGGGTGTGACAGAAGATAAGGGCTCTTGGAATATCAGGACGTAGCAGACCCTTGGTGTTCTTCCAGACAGCTCTCCTCTGAGTGAGGAACTATGTCTACTGTGCTCAATAACCTAAAAGGTGATTATAAAATCTCCAAGGTCTCTTCTTAAGATTACAACTCCTGGAGCCCAGAAAAGCCTAATGTTGGAGACTATGAAACGGGGAGCCTAGAAGAAATGTCCCCTTTTAGGACAGAATGCCATTATGCAGAAGCAGACAGGTGCCATCCTGCTGACTTTCTTCTAATCCTGGAATCTCTAAACCCCTTTAAGCCTGATTCCTCATCTGAAAAATGGGAACACTGATGCCCAAGTCATTGTGTAATTATGAGGATTACATAAGTCCACATATTACAGAATTCTCTATGAACTCAAAAGAATCATACACATGAAATATTACCTAAATTACTACTCACTTATTTTCCAATCAGGACTCCCCTGATTCAAAACTGGTCCTCAACCATTTTACAGTTTGGGCAGTTTCAGGTACAGAGGAGGCACTTGATAAACATTTATCAGTTAACTTGATGATTGATTCTCGGACTGTCTTGGTCAAAGTCATTACCTACCATCTACCTGACCCCAACAGTAGGACAGTGGCGACCACAGGCACTGACAAGGGTCACACCATGCCATGAGGTCAGGGGAGGCAGGCTGACTTGGATCTTACCCAGAGTGGACCAGCTCAGGGGTGTGCTGGGAAGGAGTTAGACATGTCATGACCTATTGGTGACACATGGGGCCACCCACCTCATCGCTTAATGGATCTGAGTCATCAGAGTTTTTATGATGCCTGCTATTTAGTCTCCCTTCCATATCTGGTAAAATGCATGGTTTCTATTCATGTTTCTAAACCATTCTTGCACAGGTTCAGATTTAAATGTCTATTGTGATGGCTCTCATCTTTTAAAACATACTATCTGTTGGTTGAAAATAATTTGCATTCACATATGGATTCACCAAACCAGTGTGATAGCATCACACTCCTCAGAGCCACACAGCCCCCAGATTAGGAGCTACTGGTCAACTTGATACTTGTTTTATAATAACCATGCGCTACCAAGAAGTGGTTGGATCTTTCTCTTAGTGATTATAAACTTTCTGACACCAAAATTCCTGGAGTACCAGAGAAGAATTATAGATTGGAAGGTGATAATGGAGGCTTGGTCTCCAAAATCATGGAAGATTAAGATTAAAGAGCCCCTCAGAGGGGGACAAAAGGCATGAGAAATGTGTTGGTGGAGGAGCAAATGGGTGAGGACAAAAATAAATAGTTTGAATACTGGTAATGCAATGCCTGCAGAAACCCTGGTCCCTTAGCTCCACTGCAACCTGGGATTATGCAGAGAGTGAGACAAGCAGATGGGCAGGTTCGGGAATAGCAGGGTAAGGGAAGGGAGGGGCAGAAATAAAAGCAAACCGATATAAGTGGCAGGTTTGTTCTCACATACTTAGAGAGAGGGAAAAGACAGCCAAGCCCAGTGTAACATGACAGCCTGGCAGGATTGTTATTCTCAGAAGCTGGGACACTAAAATATTTCCGCCAGTTTTCTGCCTTAAACTCTCTGAGGGAAATACTGCTAACAAAGGCTGCCTGTATTACATGCTTAACATAATGCAGAAATCACCATTCCCTTTTCTTCGGGTAAGACAGAATGTCACAACCTTTGTCTCCATGCCACCAGAACTGTGGCCACCAGCTGGAGGCGTCTACACTTCCACTCCTATTTTCTCACTACACACGTATGCATGTAAACACGTGACCATGCACATACACACAAACACAGTCCATGAACACACACACACACACACAGCAACAAGGCAGCCATCTGGACAGGCATGCTCTCCTACAACACCTTTTTTTCCTTCTCTGTTCTGACAGCTTAAACCCAAGAATCATCTGCCATCAAAGATGCCTGGTATTAAAAGAGGCAGGATGAGTCTCTGAGGATGGGGAAATGATGAGTAGCAAAGGCTGGAGTAGGAGAGAGGAGGGCAAGAAGGGGTGACACACAGAGGAAGAGAGCGCACAGAGAGATTTTTGTTTCCTGCTATTCTGCTCGAAAGCTGTCCTTTTTGAATTTGCTCATTGAGAAAAATCTATAATTCCAATTAAGGTCATGGCCCACTGCCCACAGCCGCCATTGTCTGTCGATGTGATGCTCACTTCCTCTCTGCAGCCTTGTGCTATCACCCCAGGGGAGAGATTGCCCGTTTCTCTCTAACTCCCCTGGTATTTACTGCGTGTGTGCAGCATTGTACCGTGCAGCTTTGTACCCTGTATCTGTGTCCTGAAAAGTCTTTAGTTAATGAATTTCATGGGAGGGACAACAGTGGCCAAGTATCACTGCATCCCTCACAGCGTCTAATCCGCAGCGTGACACACCATAGATGCTAAATAACTGTCTCCTAATAATGAATGAGTAAATAAATGAGTGAATGAGTACATGAATGGACTGGTTAAATGGTTATAAAAAGGAATGATTGTTACAAGAGGTGTGAAAAGGCATAAACAGAAAAGATCAGAGGAGTAAGATAAACAGAAATAAAGAGAAGAGAAGGAAATGTGCTCTGAGCTGTGCATGCCACAGGGGTGCACTGGCTATCAGGAGTGATCTATTGCCACATATCTGAGGTCTCTGTAACAGGTACCATTCATCTGAGTAAGCTGGAAAGGAGAATGCACTCTTGAATTACATGGGTTTATTGAAAAATAATCTATGAAGGTGATATTGACTTGATCATATGATTTCTGGAAAGTTTCTTTCATTGGGTTTCCATTAAAGCATCATTGGTGTTCCTGTTCTCAAGATCTATCAGTGCCTCCACTCACCTACCCATCCATCTGCCATCCATCTACCCACCCATCCATTTGTCCACCCACACAGCTGTCTGTCTGTCCATCTCTCCATTCATCTTCCTAATAGTATTCGTTGAGCTGGATGGAGAGCACTGGGTCCTACTCTGGCTTTGGTGGATGTCTTTGCTTTTGTACTGGGCACAAGAAAATACCCCGGCCTGAAGCTCATTCTCAGAGGAGAAACACTCCACCTGCCTTCTCCCTGACCACAGATGTCCACCACCTGCAGGCTACACTCCTAGGGGGAGGCCCGAGGGCAGAATGGCAGGTGGGTGTGGCCACAGCTGTATCCCCGCACAGAGAAAGAGAGCCAGCCACACAGAATGACAGAAGGAGCACGGAAGCCTCTAGACTTACCAGCTTGGTTTGTGGTGATGTTGACAGAGACGTGCTGCGGGGGGAAGGGACTCTTGCTGGAGACGCCATTGATGGCCTGGATGTCAAAGGTGTAGGGCGTGTGGGCCCACAGGCTGCTGATGGAGACACGGCACTCGGTCAGGCCCAGCTGCCTGGGCACAAACTCCACATTGTCGTCACAGCGGGAGCAGCTCCGGCGGTCTGAACGGCACTTTTTGCAGATGATGTTGTAGGTCACATCATCCCGCCCACCTGTCTCCCTTGGAGGATGCCACTCCAGAATGATGGACGTCTCATTGACGATGGAGATGACATTTCGGGGACCGGATGGGACACCTGTGGGGAGACAAGGAAGGGCCCGGTGAGGCTAGGCAGAAGCTTCCTTGTCCAGTACCTCTCTGGCCCGTCTCTGGTGTGTGCCCCTCCTCATCACATGCACTTGCCCTCTCCCCTTCCTCAACCTCAAATCTCCATGCTCCAATCCATTTTGGCAGGGAAAAAAACAACAAAAAAACTTGTGGACAAAGATGGCAAATTCTCCCAAACTTCCCTTTCAATCACGTGTGATTGAATTGCACTGGGGATTTCCTTCTTTCAGTCACATGTGCCAAGAGAAAGGGTTTGTGGACCTGAGTTCAAGTCTTTTTGTTCTCAGGACCAAGCCACCCTCTCTCTAGCCAGGTTTAGCATGAATAAGCTATGTGTGTATTGGACACTTATGGGATTCCTTGTCTTTTCTTAATTGGTATAGAGCTCAAGGGCAAAGGGCTATGGGGGCCCCTCCAACAGCCCCAACAAATGCTGGAATCCTGCACAAGGTCTCACATGATGTGGGATCTGTGTGGTTTGTGCCTGGTAACAGGCATGTCTCTCTGTAGGACAGGCTGCCAGAGCACCTGAAGAGATAAATGTTTATTACAGTGCACCAGCTTTGGTGCACAAAGACCAGAAGTGGAGTTGGGTGGGAGAGATTCATGCAGCCACCACTTTTTACTCCATGATATAAGAAAAACATAGGAGTGTGTTCCAGACTTTCTGCTAACTGCTTTGCATGCATTACTTCATTTAATCCCCCTTTAAGAACCCTACTGAGAAGATATAATAATTATCTGATTTTTATAGAAGAGAAACTAAAGCTTAGAGAAGAAAAGAGGCTGGCTGTAGGTCACACAGGTCTGTAAGAACTGAAGCCAGTAAAGAACCCCTTGCCTGCCTGATTCCAAAGCTCATATTCTTAACTACAGCCCTTCTCTGAACAGATTCTCTTTCCTACAAACCAGCCAGACTCACGGGGACTCACAGAGGGCAACCTCTTCCCTCTGCACAGCTCTGTTTATGGCTGCTACTGACAATTTGGCAAAATTTGAAATGCTTTGTTGCAAAACTCTGAGAAGACTGGTTCTTTGTAGGAGAGCAAAATGTTGCTGAATTAATGGCTGCAGGGCTGAGCATTTTAAGTTGGAGAATCTGCTGCCCAAGAACAGAACAGATCATAGCCTCAGGTTCCCAACCCTGAGCCTTGCCTCTCCTCAATGTCTAACTGACAGAAATGAATCCTGCTTGGAAGCCCCCCTTCTGAACGACAGATCTGTGAGAGCAGCCACTCCGGACAGTAATAAATTCAGAATTCACACACGTGACCATAGCCAGCTGAACGAAGACATGTGTAAAGTGGTTCATGCTGGAGACAGGAATCAAATGCCAACACACAAAATGAGGGAATAACAACAAGGTCGGGGGGCACAAGGGAAGGAGTCTGTGTTGAATCAGTCAGAGGCAAGCAGCTAGAGCAGAAAGAAAATATTAAATCGGGCTCTATGAAAACATGAAAGAAAATCAGTACTGTCCTATAGAAAGCCTGTTAGCCCTGAGCTAAAGCACAGTGTTCATGTATGCTTGTGACAGTGCAGAATTCATGAAGCATTTTTACTGAAGTCTTGCAAACAGCATGTAAGAGTTCCCCACCCATCTGCCCAGGGATAAATATCCATCTCTCTTAGAATCTACACACAGCTAGTACCAGAAGGGCAGTCCATACTGTCCCAAGTGGGCTCTTCCTGGCCCAGGCCAACCTTGCCCACACTGCACAATTCATTAACATCAATACTGGTCAGTGCCTGTCTTCCAACAGATGAGACTCAGACCACAATCTCCCAGTGGCCAAGGCCATGTCTGTTTGTCTCATCTTCACCGCAGACAGCCTAGCCTCACCCACAGGACATTGTTTCTCATCTCAACATAAATACATTCACTGAGTGCTTGCTTTATGCCGGGCATAGGGTCAATCTTTCTAAAACATTGCCTTGTATCCATCCTTTGGGCATCCTGAGGCTATTACTAAGAAAGCAGCCTCAAGTGGAGGGGCAGAGGCAGGGACTGACCAAGAGAGGGACCATCCATCCCTCCCACCATTGGGGACCTCCCCCCTTCAATTATCTCCTCCCTCCCTTGAGCTTTAACTTCACCTTCTCCCCTGACACCAGCTTCTCAATTTAAGCTCATTTTCAAACCCAAACACAATCACCTGACACCTCACTGCACTCGTCCTTCTGCACTCTCCAGCCAAGGTTTTCCAAAGAAGAATCACACTTAGCTATCTTGGCCCTCTCCCTACTCAGCCAACTGCAGCCTCGTTACTTCCCTACCCCTCTGCCATGATGCCATGATTGCTTTTCCTCTGCCCTCCTACTTGACAAATCCAGGGAACACAATTAAGTCCTTATCTCCCTTGACACCCGGTACAGTCACCAGCCTTGTCCTGGGAGTCACTTTCCCATATCCCCCAACACAGATACCGTCACCACAATCTGTCAGCTCTATCTCCTTTCCCTCAGATCTTTCCCTTCCTCTATATCTCCATGGCCTCAAAACTCTGGGTTTCATCAATTTTTCCACCCTATTGCAAAAGCCTCCCAGTTAATTCTCCAACATCATTTCTGCCTGTCTCTGATCCATTCTCTTCTGCCAGAGTGTGAGTCCTAAAATGCACATTGAATCATAGTATCCCTCTGCAGAACCCCTTCTGCTCTCTGGCTACCCGGCATGTTTGCCCTCCTTTCCAAGGCACTCAAATCCCACAAGGTAGGGGACCACTGCTCTTGAGCTTCTCTCCCACCCTTGGCCCTCGCCCCTCATACCATGGCTGGTAGGAGCATTCCTACAGCTTCCTGTACACACTAAAGTCTCATGCCTCGGAGCCTCTACACAGTGTTCATCCCTCTGTCTGGAATTGCTTTCCCTCTGTATCTATTTTATAATCTCCTGCTCACCCTTGAAGATCCAGCATTCATTCCACTAAGGAGCTTCGCTGACATCTAGCAGTCCTGGACTGCCCCTCTGGGCTCGTGAAGCCCATGACTACACACCTAAGCCAGATTCCATCATTACACTGTGACGGTCCCTTTCTCTGTGTCACTGTGGCCATGCTGTGGCTTCCTGGTAGGCAGGGACAGGTGTCTGGTTTGTCTTTGATTTGCAGGCCCTTCCCACCTGGTTTCCCACCTCTGCTCAGTGTGCATGGCCAGTGTCCCCACATATACACCCTCCTCCAGTGAGAGGCAGGATGGTTGGCTGTAGGTGGATAGAGGGGGCCTCAGAGAAGCCTGGAAGCAGCAGCAGGAGCAGTGAGGACCCACCTGTGACTCTGAGGGAAGAGGCTTTGGTGAGATAAAGGTGGAAAGTGAAGAGCCAGATGGAGAGTCCTGCCCCCTCATGATCTTGAGGCATCCGCGGCAGCTGGGCAGGCCCACCCTGCTCCGTGCCTGGCCATTTGCTCCCAGCTGCTCAGGAAGAAAAGCAGTGGCTTTCAGGGAAGGCTTTTGTTCATGTCTATTTAGAAACAGCTTTTATGTAAAGCAACCATTGCCCCCTTCTCAGCCTCTTGTGCTTCTTAGAGCAGATGCACCTGTGAGGCACAAACAGGGACTTGGGGGGTCATGGTTGTGGGTTCCAGGAACAATGAATCTGAATTCTTTTCTTCCAAGGAGAAGGAACAGACATTGAGGGGGCCTTTCCCTGCAGCACAGACTCCAAGAGCTAGGAAAGCCCGAGCATGCCCTGCTGTGCCTCCTTCCCAGGCACGCACAGGCATGGGGTGTGTCCTGTTTCTCAAAGAGTGAGCACCAGTACACACTTGAGGAGGTGATCGAGTCTGGGCCCCAACCAATGATTGGGACCCCATTCACTGTTCATGCATTCACTCATTTACTCCTTCAACAGATACTCTCCACATTCTTTTAGGCACTTGGGAAGCAGAGAAACCAAGATGGGTAAGCCTCTGCTTTTATGAAGCTTATATTCCGGTGAGAGAATACTGACAGGGTAGAAGAAAACACAGAAATAAATGAAATTATTTCAGATAAGAATGAGTGCTATGGAATAAATCAGCTCTGGGGCTCAGATGGGCAGCCCAGCAATGCTGAGCTCTGTCCCTTATTCCCACAAGGCCTGCTCTAGGCCTGGACAGCCAGGTCCCCGTGCTGGGTGGTTAAAATGATGATGCCCCAGGTATCTGAGCTCTGACATCCTGATGAGGTAGGCATGTTCCTGCAGGTAGACTGCTCGGTCTCCTTCATGCCTAAATGAAGAGTGTGACCAGAGAAGCTTTGGCTTCTGCGTAAGTCTCCCTAGGGGAAGGTGCTAGGCCAGTTCTCTACCCATCCAGGCATTGTCTCCTGGGCTTGGGGCCCTATAATTGCAGGAAATATTCATCCAGGATCTGGGCCCCCTGGGAAGGAGGCCAACTGAGACAACCAAACAAAAACACTACAATGGGGAGCAGAGAGGGAAGCAGAAGGAAGATATCTGCCATCTCCATCAGCAAAATCCCACAGTGAAAGCAGTGGCAGGGCTCAGCACCATGGTCTCCTGTCTGAGCTCCCTGCTCTTCCTCGTTTTTCTTAATTACATACAGACAGGCTTTTTGAAGCCTCTCTGATCTGTTGCCAAGGTTACTACTGATGAATGCAGTCTGTTAAAAGGGCTAGGGCAATTCAGTCCTTTTAAAGATGGAAAAAGTGTTGAGCTGTGATTTTCTGTCTGGGTGGGGAGGGGGTGTGGTGGGTCTTGAGTTATGAGGATGGATCTCCAATATCGTCCAGGATGTGCCTGAGAGATTGGTCAGCCTGCATGGAGCATGGCTGTCATCAGGACCTCAAATAGTTAAACTGGATCCTTCTAGACCCACAGGGCCAGCCCAAGTGTTGTTGTATTAGGATAGAATCTCCTGCTTCTTAATGTGATTTGGGCCAGATGATTTTTTTAAAGCATGGAGTGATAGGGTAGGTGGGAGAGAGAGGGTGAGTTTATTTGTAGGCATTAAGCTGAAAATAAGAGCA